ATGGAAGAAAATGAATGGATGATTTAAAAACAAAAGGGAAAACTGTGAAGAAAGCACTTTAGCTCCAACAAATATTCACAATTTTCTGTCTACAATTAGATAACAGGAGTAAGGGATTTAAATGTATTTTAAACTAACAAGGGTCTCGTCCGGCTTCGATCAAACACCTCTGATCTAAAGATTCATCTTTTACCTAAAAGAAAAAATTAAGGAGCAACTTGTGCTCCTCCAGTCTTAACTAAATCTAAACCCCCTGTGTGGAAAGCTGTGAGTTTGCCTCCATCTTGTGGACATTAAAGTAAATGTGTGTCAAGAGTACAGCCCAGAAAATTATTAACAGCTGGAACAAATTTAGGATCAGCAAATTCCCAACAAATTCACCCCAAGGTCAGACCATGTAACAAAGAGGATGTTGATGGATGTTTATTAGATCCCAAAAACTGAGGTGAATCTATTCATTACTGGTCCTGACAAGGYGGGTGTTTATACCAGAAAAGGWCCTAAAAAGGTAACAAAAACCAGATCCACACACACTTTTCTCCCTCTCAGCTCTTGCTCCAGCCTCTGTTTCTCACCACCTCTTACCTAGTTTCAGCACTGTTTTTTTTTTCTGTTCTTTCTTCAGTTTTCCCACCTCACCCCTTTTCTTTATGTTCTTTGTATAGAGTTACGTTCAACGTGGACCTTTCAGTCACATGGGAAAACATGCACAATACAGAGCCATTCGTGCACTGGCAGTATGTTGTTTTCACACTAACTATATTGTATCATATGGCCTAGTTCATACAAGTTGGGCACGTTGTGACCGTTATGTTTGTAACATCCCCACAGAAATAACATTTAGTAATTATCACAAATGTGGCAAACTTGTACAATTAAATGTAAACTTGTAGACCAGGGGTGTCCAAACATTTTGTAAAGACAAGATAATGTCAGAAGGACTTGAGGGCCAAAAATATTTTTCCTTTACCTACTCAACAATAARCTAAGCATTGAATACTTTAATTAAACAAATAAAGTAGTCAAATTTATTGCTGAAAATGGATGTGTAAATTAATCTAGATCCAGAACTTTAAAAGTGTTTTGCAGGATTCCCTTATTGAAAGAAACTTGGCGGTTTGGTCAATTCTGATCAATAAAATCAGGATTTAGGTCTCTGTTTTGTTGAAAATGCTTGCTGTACTTGGCCAAATTTTATAAATTAATTAAAAGCAAACTGGAGGGCAGCAGAATCAACTATTCAGTAGAAGTCACTATAGACGTGGAAAAACCTAAGAGCCTGGTTATTTAAAGACAAATAATTGGCATTGTTGCCAATATTTGTTATTGGAAGAAGATTTTACTTTGTCTGTGATCATTTTTTCCTAATAAAAGATAGAAAGTCTCCATCTCAAACACCTGTGCCGGGGGGATAAGTTTAGACAAATTTGTATAATTCTTGAACTGAAGTCAGGGGCCACACAAAATCAGTTCAGGGGCCACAAATGGCCCCCTGGCCACATGTTGGACACCCCTGTTGTGCACTATACATATTGGTTGCATTTGATGAGTTCCACATTAMGTAAATGTTCATTTATGTGCATAAAATTATAAATATTTGCCCACAACTCTGAAGAAATCTAGAAATTTAGGAATTTTATCACAAGTTTTCTGTATCGGGTTGTTTTGATGATAAGAGTGGGTTGAAAATCTTTTGGAAATGGAAACCTGAACATTTCTAATGATGTGTCATGAAAAACGAGTTGATTTTTAAAATACGTCAACAAGCAACTTTTTAAAAATATAGTTAATGTGGAGAGATGAAGACGTGAAAAATTTGAGCGTTTCCATTGATGACACCTTGTTTTTTGATACACATTTTAAAAAATTGTTTTGCACTTTTCAATCATGAAACGGCTGTATRCTGTACATATTTGCTCTCAGGTAACACATTTCAGTAAATACTTCTGAACTCTGATCCAAAATGTTATGTAAAATGTTAATAAAAGTTTGTGCTTTAAAGTACTTAGTAAAAACATAAAACATCAAAACATAATGTGCACTGCCCAAAACCTRCAATATCTTATTGTATTGTTGCCAATCCACTTGTGTCATATCTTACAATGTACTTATCAGTTGCATCATGACAGTATCCATCCATTAATCCATCATCTGTTACATTAAATATTCTGTCAAGGTCAGGAGCAACTAACGCAAAGCCTCTAGCAGCCATCCTGTGAACAGAGGAGCACAAGGAAAATCAGAATGATGAAAACTAATAACTGTCGACTGGTGAGTAGTRAGAGACAGAAAGTTTATGTGGCTGCAGCTGTGCCTAATAAAACCAGGAACAGGTGAGGTGGGCGTGGCCTGCTGTGGAGCAGAGACTACAAAGTGCAAACTAAACACAACAGAATGAAATAATGAACATCCATCCATCCATCCATCCATTCATCCATCCATCCATCAGTCTTTCTTCCATCCATCCATCCATCCATCCATCCATCCATCCATCCATTCATCCATCCATTTTCTTCCGCCTATCTGGGGTCGGGTCGCGGGGGCAGCAGCTTCAGAAGGGAGGCCCAGACCTCCCTCTCCCCAGCCACTTCTTCCAGCTCCTCCGGGGGAACBCCAAGGCGTTCCCAGGCCAGCCGAGAGACATAGTCCCTCCAGCGTGWCCTGGGTCTTCCTCGGGGCCTCCTCCCGGTGGGACGTGCCCGGAATACCTCACCAGGGAGGCGTCCAGGAGGCATCCTTACCAGATGCCCGAGCCACCTCAACTGGCTCCTCTCGACGTGGAGGAGCAGCGGCTCCACTCTGAGTCCCTCCCGGATGACCGAGCTTCTCACCCTATCTCTAAGGGAGAGCCCAGACACCCTGCAGAGGAAACCCATTTCAGCCGCTTGTATCCGGGACCTCGTTCTTTCGGTCATGACCCAAAGCTCACGACCATAGATGAGGGTAGATCGACCGGTAAATCGAGAGCTTCACTTTCTGACTCAGCTCTCTCTTCACCACGACAGACCGGTACAGCGCCCGCTTTACAGCAGAYGCTGCGCCAAAGTGCAAACTAAACACAACAGAACGAAATAATGAACAAAAGTCACAAAATAATTCAAAAAATGTCACAAACACAACCAAAAAGCACAGATTGTCACATCATTCCTTTCTTTTWATAGTTCAGATGCTGAGGGAGGAGATAACAAAAAGATGCATGCAGAGAACAAACTTTCTGTGCTGTTTTGAAGGATGCAGAACCGAAGATAAGAAGCTGACCAGGATCAAATCCGAGGGCAGATAAACACAGACCTCTCATTCATCACTGTTTGATATGGCTTGGTAATAACAGGCGAGAGTCTGGACTTAAATTTGACAGACAATCYRTAAGGGTGACCTGACAAGRGCTGTRCACAAGAGATGGCATCACAGTCKGACAGATTTGGAGCAATTTAGCAAGAAAGAGTGGGCAAATATTACCAAGCTAAGGTGTGGCTGCTGATAGACTCAACAAAGCATTAGTTTCAGGGTGTGCACACTTAAGCAACTTGTTGCATTTTTTTCATAGATTTTCCTCAAAACTGTTTTATTTATTTTATTTATARYTGAACTGCTTATGTCASTGTAAAAGTAGTTTTGAAATGCTTTATGGTGGTTTCCGCTGTATCCACTTAATGTAACAGAGTCAATATAGGTTACATAGAAAAACCCTAACTTTCAAAAACCTCTGCCTATCATATTTCTCCCATCAAAAGAGACCTCTGTGTTGGAACAGGTGTGGCTGCAAACCTGTGGTTAAAATAAAGGAGGGTGAGGAAAAGGAGGAGGCCGACCAACCATGTGCATGGCTCCTGAAACAATAATCCTGCTTTCAACCTCAATTCTTTCCAAGTGATCATATACGCTCCTGTGTCAGCATTTTGTRGTTAGAAATAAAAGTCAGAGTCAGCCAGTCCACTTACATTTAAGACGAAACATTTAATCAAAGCAATCAMAACTTGTATTTTAGCTAAATGTCACACATCACCTTTCAGGTGTCAGAATTTTAAATTAAGATTATCTTATATTGAGAAATAACTGAGTTACAGCCATCTTGAAAACARAATTATGTGCAATCCTTTAATTTGCAGGATCTGTTAGTGCTTGGAGTATGTGTTGTAAAAGACAGTCACCTGCCATCTGCAAATCTTCTCCCTTTAGTTGTAACACTGGATAAGTTAGAGCRTTTTTGTGTTTTCTGAAAYCAGTCTTCATTAATTAGCTTAACTAAAAAACTTAAATCAGTTTTGGTTGTCAACCCAAGTATTAGTTTCAATAAAGTTTGATTAATAATTTATGAGCTATTTTGCTTAATTTGCTCACTGGCAAAAACATTGTCACTCTGCCTTCACCTTCAGGTAATAAAAATGATGGTAACCCTATTATGAAACWCTTTTCTTAACCTGTTGAACAAAGAGAAAGGTGTGTTCTCATTCTCTGACAAGTGCTATAATTTCAATATTTGCCTGATATACCTCATGCTGATTTTCTGGCATAGGTCTGTTAAAACAGATGGGATTTGTTCCCTTTGTTTTTTTTTTTTTTTTTTTTTTKTTTTTTTTTTCCCCCAGTCAGTCAGGAGGGCGGCAGCCACAAAGGCAGGAATGTTCCTGAGAGTTCCTCGAAAGAGGCTACGTTTTAATTTTTAACTCATAAAACAAACACATAGCAGCTTGGATTTTTTTCTTTCTTCTTTTTTTATGAATGGGTGCTTTCATTACAAACCACGCCCCTATCCATAACCGCGCCCATTCTGGGCTTTCCTGCTCGGTGATTCCATGAAATTATAAATAGGGGGCGTGACCTAACTGAGAACAGCAGCTATAAAGTAGTTTAAACTAGTCTTATCTTCGAATTAAAAGGACGAAAGTCCAAAGTAATGAGTGAGATAAACTCATAATGAAGCAAACCAAGACGAAGAATCATTCGGCGTGTTGCTGCGCGRAGGTTCTACTTTAACTTTATCTTT